CCCGCCGATCACGACGTTATGCACCCCGCTCTCGCCTTTGCACACCTGGTGCTCACCCTCAGCAGCCGCGGCGCCGCCGCGGCCGGACACGTCGCTGGACGCTGCCTTGGCCCTGCAGGTCCACTCTGATGAGGTGGACCGCCTTTGTGAGCATTGCGCACCGGCAAGGCGCCTGTTGGCAGGGGATTTGGCATCAGCGCGCTTATCGGCAGGGGCAGTTGGGCTTTTATTGGCAGCGCGGCCCGGCTGTTATTGGCAGAGCGGCTGTCGGTAGGGCAACAGGGTTGACCGGAGCCAGTTGGCTGTGTTGGGCAGCAAAGGAAATTTGACACAACAGCAGCCGCGGCAGCAGGTCGGCTGCAGCACTGTGCAGGCGCTACAGCGGGGCCGCCATTTGCTCAACTGGGCGGCTGCACACATCAAGGCCGTGCTGGCCTGAGCTATGTCGCTGCGCTGGCAATCAAAGCGGCTGCGGCTCTGGCATGAAAGGTGCCATTGCCTGCCTGCCGGCTGCAGTCAGCAGGCCTCCAGACCCCACGCCATGCCCTCACGTGAATGGGCCACTCCTGACGCCGTTGCCCGCCTGATGGCCACCAACGCGCCCAGGCGGCCACAAACCCCCTGACGTGTCGGTGGCGAGCGACCTGGATGCACTCATCCGCACACAGCTCTCGGGGTCGAGGCTCTGCCAGGTGGGGTTGGCAAGGCCAGCCGGGATCGTTATATAAGGCAGCAGCCGCACTTGGTGCGCGACAGCCCCCTCGCTTGCGACATGCAGGCGGCCTTATCGTTGTTTGTGGCTCTGTCAGCCTGTTCGCTGCCGGCGATTACAGTCGCATGCACACTCCCGTACCCCGAGGCACGTCCGCTGCCCGACAACCTGCCCAAGCTGTCAAGCAAACCCTTGCCGCCGTGCCCCGCCACGCTCCCGTGCCTGCCGACAGCTGGTTCCGCGGCTCAACCCGGTGCGCCCCAGTGCGCTGAGCGGCTGGGGCAGGAGCCGCGACCGCGACCGGCTGCTGCACCGCCTGGCATTCTACGGGCTGTGCGAGAAGGAGGTCCAAGGGGACGGCAACTGCCAGGTAGCTGCGCTTTTGGAACTCTAAGCGTGCCAACCTCGCATGGCCTGTGTGTTGCAGTGGTTGTCGGTGGGTGTTGGATGCTGCATTGCGCCGTTGTGAGTTGCAATGCAAGGTGGGCTGTGATGAAAGACGCGTGAGGTTGTTTTTGGGGTTGTCGCAGCAGCTGTAGAGCTGTTCAGGAGCTAGCAGCCACCCATGATTGTGGCAAAGTCAGGCAAGGCTTTCAGATACTCAATCGGCAAAGTTGCGCTTCACGACGTTTCCATCCAAAAGTATAATTGTCGTTCGACTGCCCCATGACTGCCTTCCCTAGTTCCGGGCCCTCAGTGACCAGCTGTACCGCAGCCCAGACCACCACGCGGCAGTGCGCGCCCGCGTCTGCCAGCAGCTGCACATGCACCCGGGGCGGTACAGCGGCTATGTCACCGAGCCGTACGGCCCCTACATCGCCGGCATGGCGCGGCTGGGCACATGGGGCGACCATGTGACGCTGCAGGCGGCAGGTGGGTGGGGCACCACAATGAGCTTCGGGGCTGGGTGCGGCTGTGAGTGCCGGGGTGCTGGCGGGTGCGTGGCTGCCTTCTGACTCGCACGGCAAAACATCAGGGTGAAGAAATGCTGGACGCCAAACCGCTGCGGTTGTGAGACTGCTAACTACAACCGCCCGTCAGGTCTTCACTGCCACCAGGATATGGCACTCTGCTTCCAACCCCTAGTTATCACGCCTCCCCCATGGTCTGGCCACATCCCGCAGCTGATGCGTGGGGCATCAAGATCTTTGTGATAACGTCGTTCCTTGAAAACTGTGTCATTGCCATCGACCCCGTCCAAGAGAACCCCGCCTTTGTTGCACGCGCCCTGCACCTGAGCTTTTGGGCAGAGGTGCGGGTCACTGGGCTGCCAGTATGCGTAGGGCTGGGGAGAGGGGTTCGGCGGCGATGGTGGCCACGTGCCCTGGGGCAGCATGCTTGATGGGTCGCATGGGCCCGTCACCCCAATCCACAAGGGTCCATAACCTACCTCGCTCTTCATGTGTATTTGCGCACCAACACACAGCCGCATACAACCAAACTTTGACACACACGGCTGCACGCACACAAACACAAACACCCACACACAGGTCACCACATATATCCACGTTTTCACACATGCACATCGCCTCCCCCATCCGCCAGGTGCACTACAACTCTGTGTATCCCGCCGGCGAGAAGGCCCGCCGCTCCCCGCGGGACCTGCTGCCCCGGGGCCTGCGGGGCGTCCTGGACGCAGGCAGGGACGTGGCCGCCAAGATCATCCCGGGGTGACCAGATGTTCTCCCAGTGCATGTCTCGTCGCCAAACACGAGCGGCGTCACGAGGGTGCCGGGCGACTGGCGCTGGCGTGGCATTCTGAAGGGGGCCAGAGCAGGGTTGCAAGGGCCGCAGCTGCAGCGGCAACTTAATTTGCTGAGAGGTCTGGGCAACCTGCTACGTATATGTGAGGAATCTTTCTTGTGCGTACGCCAGTCTGTGGCTGCACAGCGCTGAGGTGCCGCTGAGAGGCGGCACTCACTGATTGATGGCGCTGTGATGATGCGCCCTGTGTACAGTGTAAAGGCCTGGCAGGAAGCTTTAAGCCACGTGTACTTCGTGACTCATACAAAGCGAGGGCCCCTATCACAAACGTGATTCACCGGTGTGAGCAGGCTGGGAGCCTGCTGACGTGATCGTTTCTTTCCTTTACATGTAGACGAAAACAAAAACGCTGCAGCCGAAAACCAATTCAACAAATGCGCAAAAAGTAAATTGAGACGGAAGGTATTGCAATATGAGGGCTGGGCGGCCGCCCACAAATCAGAGCGCATCACCGCCAGCGCCAAGCACGGCGCTGGTTCGCCGACCCGCCAATGGGCCAGCGCACCCCCCTACCGCCGCCTCGCGGGCGCCGCCGCGCCGACAGACAGGTCGCAGCTGCTGGCGCCGGTCGCGTCGCAGTCTAGCGGCGCCCATCGGGAGGCGGCGAGGTCGCAGTTGAAGGTGGGCTTGCCGATGGCGCGGTTGACCGTGTTGTGCGCGCGGCACATCCAGGCCTGGAACTCGTGGCCGCTTGAAACGGCGGGCGGGTCGGCCCTTTGGGAGTGTGTTGGTTTGTGTTTGGGGAGGGGTGTAGGTGGAAGTGCGGAATAGGCCAAGCTCACGGGCGGGCAGATGGGATCAGGGGTGCTGCGGTCCCTGGCAGCGTGGACAGGTCCGCCTGCACAACATCATGCGCGCCACTGGACCACGCTGCCCGCCCGCGAGCAATGCCCTCCCCGCTCCTCGTTTTGAGGGCAGGGACTGCCGTGCAGCCATGGGCGACAGCTGCCCTCAAGGCAGCCGCCAACAGGCACCCACATGCGTCGTCAGCTGCCTGGCGACACCGCCCCCCCCCAAAGCCCTCTACCGCCCGCCGACCGCGAGTCGATCGCCCCAGCCGTGGTCATCCCCCAGCACCCGTCCTATTTGCCTCCCGCTGCGGCAGGCATCGCGAAAAGGGCCGGCCCGGCTGACTCACTTGACTATCTCTGAGAAGTGCCGCGCGCAGTCAGCGCAGGGGTAGATCCTCGTCAGCACGTCCATCAGGCTGCGCGCGTCCCGCTGCTGCTGCCGCGTCGGGCGCTTCGGGAACTGCGCCGCGAGCGTGTGCAGGAACACCCACGTCGCGCGCCCGAGCTCTTCGCGGGTGACGTGCTGGGGTGCCGCCGCGTGGCGCTCCGCGCGGCGCGGCGGGGCCTCCGCGCCGGCGGAGGCCGTGGGCGCGCGCTGCTGCTTGCCGCCGCCTGCAGTGCCTGTGCGCTGTTGATGATGGTGGTCAAGCTGCTGCTGGTGTTGATGCTGCTGCTGCTGCTGGTGGTGGTGCTGCCGCTGCTCCTGCTGCTGGTGATGCTGCTGATGTGCCCACGGGGGCGACGCCGCAAACCGCTGAATACTCTGCTGGAAGCCTTGCAGGAGGGTGCAGGCTGGCTCGAGGGGGCCCTGCTGCCACCACTGCCGCTGCCGCTGCGTGTGCTGCGAGGAAGCCATTGCCGCGCGCAAAGCCGCTCGTGCGAGGTGCGCAATCGCGAGGCCGTGTCACCCGTGCGGCGGCGACTACTGCGATTCCTTGGCCGCCGGCTGCACTTGTGGAGGTCGCGTGCTGAGCCTGTCCACCACCGGCCTGAGGCCCTTGTAGCGTGCAAAGTCGAAGATGACCTGCTGCTTGTCGGGCAGGGTGCCCTGCTGCTTGTGCTTGTAGAGGCTCTGTAAGAAAAAACGGAGGGCGAGACGGATCTCCTCGTGCCTGTGCAGCAGGCCTTGACCCTTGCTGCTCATATCGGGCTAGATCACGCGTGGTCGGCGTGCGCAAAGACGAGAAAGTGTCGCGTCATACAGGTTGGAGGTCTACTTGTGTTGAAGGATTGGCCTGGGACGCCTACGCGATCAGCAATGGATGACGCGTGACCCATGCCGACCGCAGTGACTGGTGGGATTGGCGAGGATGCCTTCTGGAAGTCGTTGAGGACCGCTGCAACACCACAAAGCAGCGGGTGCACCCGCTGCTGCGCCACAAGGGCGCTGGAAATTTGCCGACAAACATATGCAGGCAGTCCCTGCCTCCCTTGCGACGGTTACACCCCTTGAGAGCTGCCGGGCATCTCCAGCCCTTTCAACAGCTGAGGTGGCCGTCCCCGTCGTCATGGCAGGCGAAGCAGCCAGCATACTTCGTGCACTTGAATGCGAACGCAACGTTGTCAAAGTTCTCAATGCCCTCCTTCAGCGGCCGCCGCGTCTGCTTCACTGTCACGGCCAACGCTTTGGGCGGCGCGGCCGCGACGCCCAGGAACGCCTGGATCCGGCGCGCCGCGCAGCAGCCACCCACGTCACTGGCCCCGCCTGCACCGCTGCGGGTGGCGCCGCCGCCAACGCCGGCGTCGCCGGTGAACGCGGCGGCGAGCTCGTCGTAGCTGATGCGCAGGACGCTGGCGTGGCCTTGGCCCCCCAACAGAGTGTCGTAGTACACATACACCTGTGTGGACAGGGGCGGATGGTGATGTGATGCAGACCACGGGCATGTTGTGTACCCATTGGTGGCTTTGGAGCTGGTGGAAGGGAGTGATGACAGGGAGAACTCAACTATTTCAGGATTAGCGCGATGCATGCAAGCGCATGTGCACACGTGGGCAGGCCCCCAGCGCATTTCTAAACCATCGCTGTGTTTTGCGAGCGGAGTGGAAAGAACACTCATGAACGCCTCTTAATGCATGAAGGTTTTATAGAGGAGGACTGGATACCCGGGGACCCACCTGATCATAGTGGGTCACGAAGCCCTGAAAGGCGGCCACGTCCACCTCCAAGGGGATCTCGTCCAGCCGCTTGCCGATGTAGGCACCTGTCTGTGGGGCCCCGCGCGAGCAGCAGGGTGGCTTGGTGAGGGCCAAAGCACCTGTGATGGACCTTGCAAATGTTTCCAGTGGCGGAATTGTCTCAAAGGGCGGCCAATTGTTGCGGCAGCGGCAACAGCAACGGCAACAGACACGGCAGCAGTCGCAGCACCGGCAGCAGCCAGCTTTCTGTTCATGATTCAAATACCACAGCAGCCCCACACCATCAGCAAACGGCGCACGCCGGCCCACAGGGCTTCTGCATTTTGTCACGACCTGACGCTTGCCACGGTGAGTGGCAAGCAAGCGTCAGGCCTGCACTGCGGCTCACCCTCCCCTGCCGACCTTGTCCGCCCTCAGCTTGGAGGCGTAGACATCCAGGTGGTTGCTGCGCCGCAGCACAATCTTCTTGACGCGCGGGTCCACCAGCAGGCGCTGGAACACGGCCGTGGTGGCGCCCTTCCAGTGCTCTGCGGCCAACAGCAACGCGCAGCAAGACGCGAGGCGGCAAGGCGCATGCTAAAATTTGTCGTTGATAGTGGATCATGCCCGTGTAAGCAAGATCCCCACACACCAAAGTGGGGATAGGAAGGTCTGACCAACTGCAAGAAAGGTCAAAGCAAGCGGCGCAGCTGGCGCTACGTAGCTGCTGCCCAGCGCCCTTCCCGCGCACGGCCATTCACCTGGAAAGAGCTTGAAGCCGACGGCCTTGCAGCAGCCCTTGCCGGCCGCCGCTTGCCCTTGCTCCTCCTCCGTGTGGGGGCGCAGCTGCAGCAGCTCCACCAGGAAGCGCTGGGGGTCCTCGTCCCGCAAGAAGACGTCCCAGTCCCACCCGGGTGAAGTCTGGAAAAGAGCCTCATTGAAGGAGTAGATCTGAGGGTTATGTGATTGCGGCACGAACAGCAAGCAGGGTGGTGGCATGGGGGGCAAGGTGGATCACTGCAACGCATGGGCAACCCGGTGCCACTGACCTTTGCTCCTGCTGGCATGAGCACGGGCACATGCGTGCAATCAAGGGTCAGGCAAGTGTGATTGCATAGCTGTGCAGGATGGATCTGCCGCACTCTCGCAGCTGCTGAAACCTGACATGTTCAGAGCTCCCAGCTCCCCACCCACAGGCACCTTAGGCGCGCGCGCACCTTGGCTTCGTTGAAGACCTCGTTGTGCATGAGCACCTGCCCAGGCAGGGCGCGCGGATCACCACAATTGAGCAGAAGCAACAGCAGCAGCGGCAGCGGCGGCTACGGCGGCGGCAGCAGCAGCAGCAGCAGCAGCAGCTGCTGCGGCTGCTGAACCAGCAGTCATGAGTGCAGTTCAGCCCCCCAGCCCATTGTGAACTTCTGCAGACAGGTATTGCCACATACAAATGCCGACAGGAATTAAATCTCAAACGATAATTTTCAAAGAAGGCTGATGGACGCCGACTCCGGCGCCCCCAGTCGCACCTCTGGGTGGTTGTGCAGCATGCCGCACAGCAGGTTGGTGCCGGTCCTCTAGTAGGCCAGCACCACAAACGGCACAGGCCCGTCCTCTGGCAGCGGTAGCGGCCGCAGGGCCGACAGGTAGTCGCGGCAGAACAGACGCCGATGGTCGATGCGCTGGGAGCGCGCGAACAGCAGCACTGTCGCCGTCAGGAACGACCCGGCCAGAGCAAGCGCGCCGGCCGACAGCCTGGACCAGAAAAGCACGCAGCACACGGCGACAGCCCAGCAGACGTTGCGGACGAGAAGGCCGAACTGGGTCGCCGCGATGTGGTCGCTCTGGCCGTCCATCCAGTCGAAGCAGACGCAGATCTGCGTGAAGCGCAGCCGCGCTAGCTTGCAGCGCAGCCGGACAAGGTCCTGCACCAGGGCGGGCACCAGCGCCAGCATAGCAATCGCCATGCGGCGTGGCGGCGCAAGGGCCGCGGGCACGCGCGGCAGCACCGACACGACGCCCAGAGTCAGCTCGACGGCCATGATGGCTGCAGCACAGGCCGCCAGCAGCACCAGCCGCTCCCCCATGCCTCGGCCATCCAGGCCGCCGGCGAGCGGCGGCGCGCTGACCGCCATGGAGAGCGCGAGCAGCAGTGTCGCCTCGGCCCAGTTGGGCAGCGCGCGGAACGTGGTGTGCGGCAGCGCCTCAAGGCAGAGCACATCGCCCGAAGCCCAGCCCGCGACCTGGCGCAGCACGCCGCCCCAGAACGGGTGCACCGCCTTCGCCTCAGGCACCGCCACGATGGCTGTATCTTTGTCGGCGGCGAGCGCCTTGAGCCGCAAGCACAAGTCCACGTCCTCGCCGCCGGCGGTCTTGGGGTAGGCCCCGCTGAACCAGACGGTGTTGTTGCTGCGGCCGGGGACGCAGAGGTTGGCCGTCACACCCCAGGGCGGGGTGGGCTCGCGGGCCGCGATGGAGACGAAGAAAGTCATCTGGGAGGCCACCTGGAATTTTTGCAAAGCACAGGAGGTTTCAAGGTCTTGGCAAACGTAAAACCACAGCGGGGACTACCACTGCCTATGGCGCCTTTTTGCTGTCAAAAGCAAAGACAAGCTCTGCGTCAACACCAGCGAGCAAGTCAAAGGAGTCTGTATTGAACGACGTTCACCAATGATGTCAGCTCAGGGCACTCAACCCCCGCATCCCCCGCAAGCATGACCCACCAGCGCGTGCTGCTGCATGGAGTGTGGCTGTGGCAGCTGGGTCAGGCCGACGAACACCTTGGCGTGGGGATGCCGCAGCGTGGCGCCCAGGTAGGCGTCGAGCAGCTGCTCGTCAGGCGCCACGTCATCGTCCAGCAGCACGTTCCAGTCCCCAAAGCTCTGCGCCATTCCCGGATTGCGCGCGTCGCTGGCGCCCATGTTGGCGAGCTGCACGTACACGCGCACGAGGTGGTTTGGGCTCCAATCCTGCAGCGCCTGCACATCTGCCAGCGCGGGCGAGGAGGGGTCGTCGACGACGACGAGCGTGTGCAGCGACGCGCGGGCGGCGGGCGACGTGCGCAGCTGGGTGATGCGGCGCAGGGCGCCAAGGTTGCACCTGTGAGGGGTGTGGGTGGGTTTGATTGGGCTTGCTTGCGTGGAGGCTGGTGAATTGTTTTGTTCCGACAGAGGCGGCGGTGCCGGGATGGGTCCCCTTCTAGGGTCGGTGGAGACTGGCCATCAGGATGGGGCTGGGGTGGTGCTGTCCATTGCGGTTGCGTATGGTTGAACACAGTAGCCTGTGACTGGACAGGAGGCTTGAGCCTCAAGATTTGCAGCAGCCATGCTCAGCCAGCCACCCTGAAAGCTGCGCACAGGGACGACCCCCCTACCAACCTGTAGGTCGGCACGACCACGCTGAGGCAGCGCAGCTGGCGCCCAGCAGCCGCTGGGCCCAGCGCATGCCCCAGCACCGCGATTGCATCTGACAGCAGAGCGTCCCGCCAAGGCGCCCCCTGCTTGCAGTAGCGTGCAGTCCCGAGGCCACCGACGCCGTTGATGAGGCTTGCCGAGGGCGCGAAGACGCTAGCACCCCACCTGCAAAGGAACGGGAGGTAGAAAGTGTGGCAGCATGATATTTGTGTCCAGGCGTTTGCTTATAATGCAGTGTGTGTGTGTGTGTGTGTGTGTGTGTGTGTGTGTGTGCGTGCGTGCGTGCGTGTGTGCGTGTGTGTGTGTGTGAGTGTGTGCACGCGCGCACATGCATGTGTCGATGTGTGCCTCCATGCCTGCGCACGCGCGCGCGCACAGGGGCACACATGAACAGCCTTGAGCGCACTTGAACATGCATGCAGCCTCCACAGGTTATTAACAAAGCCCGTCCTACCCCTGCTGGTCTAGCTACTTGCGTGTTTGAGCTGCTGTTCCCTAAACTAAACTGACTCAGTTAGCCTAGGGTCGGACCGTAGAAACCCAGCTGCAGCCCCCCAAGTGGCTGCCCCGGCCACCTCCGATAGAGCTCGAAGAGGAAAGGGTCGCCGTGCTGGTTGACGAGTTGAGGTGGAAAGAGCTTTCCAAAGGTGTCCAGGTGCCAGCGGTGCATGACCGGGAACATAGGGAAGACAGGGAAAGATGTGTCGCTGAAGCAGAAGCAGGCACATCCAAACGGCAGGTCGCGCGCCTCAGAGATAGCCGCAAACTGCGCCTCAATCTCCGCCTTCCAGCCCTGATCAGGAGGGGCAGGGGTGCGTGCCGGAAAGATTTGTGAATCAAATTGTGCAGGGCAAGACAAACGATACGACAGCAGTGTTGCATCTCCTGTATGGCCATGATTCATTAACCCTCTCTTGGCCGCGGCCGTCGCTGGGCCGGGCGATGCCGATCCCGTCGCCAAACTCGTCGCTGCCAAAATCGCCGCTCCCGAGGCCGCCGATCCCGCCACCGCCTTGAACATCAGGCAAGCCCCGCTGCTGCCTACGTGAGTAGAAATTGGAAGCCAGTGGCGCGCAAGCCGCCACCGCCGGCACCAACATCTGGCTGAGCGGCAAGTACAGGGTGAGACCTGCACCAGCGGAGGCAGAGGGGTGTTGCAGAGGGGAGGGGATGAGCAAGCGAGACCAAACCAGGCGGCAATGCGGGGCAGAAGCGAACGGGCTATAAAATACTGGTGGTTCAGAACCCATCGACGCCTACCCACATGTTTCACCTCTCGACTCGTGCTGCGCGGGCGCCACCAATGCCCCCTTGACCACCGTCACAAATGCGGCACTCTTGGACCGCTTCACCGCGCCGCGCTGCCGCATGCGCCCCCAGCCACACGGCCTCCTCTGCAACGGAACGGCGCTCACTTGCCATCTTCAGGGCCTATTGGCTTTCCATGGCCTGAGCGCTGGCAGGGCTGGCCAAAACGACGGCATGCGCCCGACGCCGCTGCGACAGCTCGGCCAACCCGCTGCCAGCAGCGACGCTTGCGGGGCCGCCCCCTCTCCGCATACGTGAGCCTGCGCCGGCACGGCCTGCCAGCTCCGCTGTGCCTTTCAACGACACATTGCTGGCTGGCCGTCCATGCCCAAGTGCGTGGACAACATGTGATGTCACTGTCCATCTCCTGGGCGCTGAGTGCGCAATCGCGCACACCTGGCTGCACTCCGCCGCGGCCGGTTCCAGCAGCCCTCGAAGACTCACTCATACACAGGGATCCATTCTGTTGTTTTGCGGCTGCCGGCGCCGCCCTCGAGCGCGGCAGCGGCGGCGCGCGGTGCGCGGCAGGGGGCCAAGGCGCGTTGACGCCGTTCGGCGCGGGAAGGAGCCGTATGAGTTGCTTCAAGTATGAAGATACCTTTGCGACCGCTGTCGGGCGCGAACATGCCCAGCGGGGCGGGTGTCCAGATCGCGTAGTGCGGGCAGAGGTTGCTCGCCCGGCTGCCTCCTGTGACTGTCTGGGCTGTCCCGAGTGTTCAACTAATGATACCAAAACCTTTTGAGCTGCGTGCGCTGCAAGTCCTGAGCGCCGAGCTTATTCTGCGGGAGGGGTGGGAGCTGGCTGTGCTATGGAAGCTCCGGCTCTTTTGAATCGGACGACGGTTTAAAGAACAATTTCCTTGAGAAATCAAATTATCAAATTGGGCCTGATTCCACGAGGCCTGTCAAATCGGGGCAAACACCTCAAAACGAATCCCTTATCGTTTTGATATCAGCGTTTTGCGGTGGAGCCATTCTTCACGGATGGTTGTATATGTACCTTTCTTTGATCTGCCTGCCACCTGGCTTCCCAGCCATCCTAGTTATTCTCATTGGTTCTGGTAAGGCATCCTGCAACCAAGAGCCCACGAAATTCAATGCTGATTCGGCCGGTGTTCAGGCCGGAAGCGTGGCCATTGCTGGGAAGCCAGGGAGCGATCGTCGTGGCCAAATGACGACGTGGGGCGCTGGGAGGGCTGGTTGGCATTTATGTCGGGGAGGGACCGTAAGATAGCGCAGGAGGCGGCTTCGGGGTGTGTAGTGGGCAAGGGATGTTTGGTAATTTTTGTGTTGTTGATCGCGGCTACTTGAAGGCCGGAAGGGCCCTACATATGGGGGCCTTGGGTTTCATTCGTTTTGAAGTGCCCAACCCCCATCGATATGAATGGGTCCGGCTAATATGAGGGTTATTGAAGTTTTGATCGATATCACGCTCGTGGATTGTGGTTATCGATTTGGCAAAATCTTTCTTCCAGATTTGCCCGCGATAAGAGCGATAAGAAGCCCCGTGGAATCAGGGCCTTAGACGCTGCAGTCAAAGTACACACAAAATTGCTTTTCAAGAACACACTTGTTTGAAGAGAATCCATACCTCTGGCCAGAGACCACAAAGAAGGCGTGGTTTGAGCAGACAATTTCCAAAGCTTTTGAATGGTTTGGTTCACAAACTTCAAACCAGAGTTTCCGAGCAAATGACGCATGGCCCGAAAGGCTCGCATTCGGGCCACCAGCAGTTTTTTGCGTTTGACTAACCAAACACTTCCGGGAACAATAGAAGGGTTGTTCAATGTGCGCAAACTACCAAAAAGAAGAGCCCGAAACCCTGTCCAGCTTTGTGTAAAGGGATAAAGTTTAGGAGTTAAAGAGAAGGTGTGTGTGGCAGGGCGCAGCGTGAAGGTAGTGGGCTGCCCGCAGCAAATGCACGCACCCGCTCGAGCACCTTGATGTCATCACCCAGAAGCACAAAAAAATCTGCGCCGTCTGTGAGAATTGGGGGGAGAATAACAAAGCAGGACAGCTGTGAGTAGATTGGTTATGCAAGTGGCCCTATATGACGTTGATGCACGCTTGGTCAAACGGTCTGGTCAACTCAGCAGGCAGGCAGCGGCCGCAGGCTGCAGACCCGCTGTCCGGCGCACCTGCCACTGCGGCCTCCGCTAGGTGCGCCCAGATGTGACAGATCTTGTGCCGAAAGGGGGACCTAATTTTGAGGGAAATCCAGGGTGTGGCAGCATTATCAGGGGGTGCGGCGGCAGCGGGGTCCGGACCAAAGGGGCGCTGACACATTCCCCCGTACATCATCAAGGTGTTGCGCATCGTCACAGCTGATGATTCTGGAAATGAGTTGGAATACAAGAGGTAATCATCGTAATGATTGTGCCGCCCTCTGATGCCTGCTGTCAGGCGGTACGCCTGGCACCTGAGGAGCGTGAAGGCTGTTTCCACGCCAACGCCTGCCAGCGCCGCTTGGATCTTGGCACGCGCCTCGCCGTTATCAAACATGATGTCAAACTGCAGCAGGACACGGTAACAGCAGTGACGGCCGATGAGTTGGAGACTGCAAGAGCAGTTCATGTTTCTGCAAGTGCAATTTTGCTGCGGGTGCATGCTTGGCTGGACACAATGAGCACGGCCATTTGTGCCAGCTTGCACTTTCCTGGTCAATCGCGACGTGTACGCGCAGCAGGCTGCGCTCCTCCGGCGTCGTCGTGGCCGTCAGCGACTGTATGAACTCGTACAGCCTCTCCCACACGGCTCCCTTGTCTTCCTTGCCACAGTAGGTGCATTAGGGGGCGGGCACTACAACACCTCTGAGCAAGGGGGCAGCCCCCACCAAACCCTTTAGGCGCTGGTGGGGGTCAAGGGCAGTCCCCTGTGTAACTGATTCATCATCATCATCATTGTTACTCTATGCCATAGCATCGCTGCCATCGGCCAACTAATTACAGACCCGCAACCGATTACAGCCCCCATGTTCCTGATAGCAGCTTCCTGTGGAACTGATGACAAACCCGTAATTGATTACAGCTGAACTTCACAGCAAACATCACAGCCACCCCCGAGCAAGAGGCGGCTCCCACCCCCCTTGCGCGCCGCTGAGCCCCGTGTGAACCGCATGTCTTGACTCCACCATGATTTTACAAGCTTCACTCAGCCTCATCAGGGATGTGCATGGACAGCATGCCAGCCTCATCTATAGAAAATGAAACACCAGATGCTCTGCTTGCCGAGTTGAAAGCCGCCACCATGCGCATCAGCCTTTCCATCTGACTCTGCTCCATAGCACGGCGCCCGCCCTCGGGCACCTTGCGCTGCCGACCGCGGGCAGCGTGCCTGACGCCGCCTCATCTCGCTGCAGCCTTGCCTCCTCCTCTGCCACCCACTCCCGAAACGCCGATGAGTACTGGGACAGAATGTTGGACTTGAGCTTGTTGCATGCGGCCTCGTCGCCAGCCTGGCCGCTCGCGCGCCACACCCTCTGCAGCACCTCGAACGCCTCGCGCCGCTCCTGCCCCTCCTCCCTCTTCCACCACTGATTTGCCGTTGGCATGATGGAACCCCCGCCAGGCGACGCCTTGTGCACCCGCTTGACCATAGCATTCAGCCGTGCGCCCAAGAACTCCATCTGCTCCTTGGTGTGCTTGGTCTCGGTCGCGACGCCAGCCGGGTAGTCGGGAAGGAGCTCCCACGCACGCAGCAACTTGTGCAGCATGTGGGCGGCGGTGTCCTGAGGGATGTAGACTCCGGTGCTGCCCGTTGGGCCGGCGACGACCCCCGCCTCCGCATAGTTAGTGTAGTGCAGCACCTTGGCGCAGCGCAGGGTCTCTAGCAGATTTGATGAAGTGATGGAGAGCCCCGCGGCGTCGGCATGTTGGCGAAAAAGTGCACTCTTGGTGTAGGCAGTGAAGCTCTCGATCGTGGCCGGCAGGTCTGGCACCATCAGGCGGAAGGTTGAGTTGTTGGCCATGTATAGGTTCAAAAGGGGTGCTCGTAGCGTTGGCGCGCTTCCGCTCTGCAAGCTTTTTGAAGCTTCTGTGTGTGCGTTTGGGGGAGTGGTGTATGTGTTCGTGCGTGTGGGTCAAGCGTGGAACAAGGAGCGTGTGCGTGTATGTGCTGAAGAGCGTGGAAGACAGAGTGTGTGCATTCAAGGAATGCGTGTGGAGGATGGCGCCTCCCGCGCATGCATGTGTGCGCCATCACATCCTGGCCACGCCACAGATCCTGCCCATCCAACCCAGCCCATCACCACCACCACCGCCAGCACCATCACTGTCTGATGCTGTAGCATTCCCCACCGCCAGCACCATCACCACCACTGTCTGATGCTGTAGCATTCCCCCTACCCCACCCCACAGGAGAGGCCAAGCAGGGGGCATCCCAGGCTGGAAGCGCCTGCACTTCAGTAGCCCTGGCCACTGCCCCTCATCTCTCAGCCCAAGAACACCTGCAGGAGCCAACCCCATCGCACCCAACCCCTGCCCAGCAGCACAGCTTGCATGATGCACGCCTCACCTGCTGCTGCTCCTGCTGCCCCTGGACAGCAGTGAGGACAGGATGGTGGACGTGCACAATAGCAGGAGGCGCCACGCGCCCAGGGGGAGGTGAGGCCAGCAGGCGGTGAAGGGCAGAGCGTACGGGGAACGACGGGAAGGGGGAGGGAGGAAGGGCGGCAGCAGCTTGTGAGCGGGGTCAGCGTTGAAATAACATGGTGAAGACGAGGCAACCTGGGCACAGGTCACGCGCTTGCTGCACACCGTGCATACAGCTGCAGGGCATGCGACATGGTCCGTGATTTCCCTGCAGGATGTGCCCAGTACAGCGCCCCTGCCAAGCTGCCACCCAACAGGTGGCCGTTCCCAAGCGCTGCCATGGCCCGGAGCCCATGGAAAGACAGGCAAGCCCCCCCAAACTGCCGTCAGGCGCGCGAGCTCAGCGGGCCGCTGCCCAGGTGAGCAACCTCAGCCACAATGAGGTGCACACAGCTGCACCCATGATGGTGCATTATGCAGCAGGCACATAACATCAGCTATTGAAGTAGCGCTATGGAGACCAGGAGCGCACCTGCTGCTACCCATCCTCTTCATCGGAAAGGCTCTCCGGAGCATGCTCGTAGATGAAGTCCTCCACTGGGGCTGAGTCAGGTGGGGGGTCCGGGCCCTCGTCTGGCAACCTCTGCCAATACATCTGCAAGAAAGCCCAGCATGCAGCTTGGTCAGTTGAAAAACCATCGGCTTGTTGCAAGCCGATGGATGGTGGGTGCACCCTGGACTCCACAACGTAGCGGGGGGACCAATGTCAGCACATATGAATAACCTTCAGAGTGCTACTGCAATTCATTTGGGAGAGTCAGTAGGTGTTGTTTATGCGGCAGCCACCTTGTCGAAGATGGCGTGTAATTGATTGGTTCATTGATTGACTACAGCAAGCAACATCTGCGCCCACTCACGCACCGCCAAGTTCGACGCTTGAGGGCTTACTGACACCAGGTGGGGTGAGATCTCTGCCAGTTGCTGCTGTGTGATGCGGCCTTCAGCCAGGGCCTGATTGAAGGCGTATCGGGCCTGGAACACGAGGCACCTCCTGTAGGGCCGTGCATCCGTGTTGAACGACAGCACCTTGCCGTCCAGGTCCGTGAACCTCAGAGGTCGTCCATCCTCGTTCATGAGCCTGCGCACAGCGCAAGTTCGGGCTCTTAGTGACAGGCCAGGAATCGGGCGCCACTTTGCTCTTTGTCTGCTGGGTGGAGATGTGCTGCCCTTTGTAAAAAGGCAGCTGATACTGTGGACGCAGATTGTCAAGAGCCACTGATGGAACCCCGACATAACAACGCAAGCAAGCACTCGACAGATTGGCCGCAAAACTTGCATGCCCAAAACAAGCTTCCAATGAAGGAGATTGATGCACCAGGCAAAGGCAGTGCTGTGCCATTGAGATGCACTGCGGCTTGGGAGCACACCCTCAGCAACGCAATGCAGAACTCTCCTGACTTACCAGCAAGACAAACTCACCCTCGAAGTTCCTCCTGGAGTTCCTGAGGCAGCTTCTCAGCGCTGCTCTTCCAGGGGTATCTTTTCATGTCGTGCATGAGCAGCTCTGCATCCCCCAGCCAGCACATCCGGTACTGCCCGTCAGACCGTCCTGCGCCCCGTGCGCCCTCCCAAATGATGCACAGGTAGCCGTTGTCAAAGGCCTCTTCTATGGGCCTGCGAAGTGCGAGCGTATGAGCTCTGTGGGCAAACACAGCTGACAAGAGCTGAGTGTCACAGGGACTCAGATGCAGCATCATCTGTGTTTAGAAAGGGCCATGTGCGGGGTAGCAAGACGATGATGTGCCACTTTGGTCAAAGAGACAATGCTAGACACAAACTGCTGCCTTGTAGCCCCTCAAGCGATGGCAAATATGCAACTCAGCTGCACTCTGCATGCACCCTACTTCAGTTGATACCAGGTGTACAGTCCGGCCTTGTAGACGAGTGAACCTCGTCATTCATCAACTTGCCAAGCCGTGCCTTTGGGAGGCGAGCTTGTCAATGAACGCAACAACCCTTGCAGTACGCCTAGCTGCCCTATGAAAAGCAGTGTCACCTCCCACAAGACAAATTCTGCAGACGCTCACTTGATCAGCATCAGGCCGTTTGCAGGATCGTTGATATTCTGGAAGCCAAGAACCCGCGCAAGATCCATGCGCCATGCGTACTTGAACAGGTGAGCAGCGCACACCAGCTTGCTGGACACAAACTTGCCCAAGCCCATGCAGAAGAGCTGGGACTCGACTGTTGGGGACTTGCAGCCGTATGCCTGCACAAATGCAGCGGAAGGTGGAGGGCAACCCAAGGTGTGTTTGTTTCAAAAACTATTACATACATGCAAACTACTGCCGAATGAAGGTCTGATACAGCATTTGCGCTTGGATGGGCACCTTTGAGCAATGCAAATACTACACCTGCTCAGAACAGTGCATCCAACGCGCACAATCAGTGAAAGTGCACATTGCTGCAGAAAGGCCCACTGAAAACTTGTGTGCCGTTTTTGTGAACTGCCTGGGTGCTGGCATGCAAGGCTGCAGGCAAACTCACCTCAATGAGGGCTTTCTTGAAGTTGGGGTCTTGGTGCTGTGTTGCCTGGCTAGTGGTGTACTTGTACCGGGCTGTGGCGTGGTGACGCAGGTAGAAGTTGGTCACCCTTGCCTCGTGGACAAGCTCCATCAAGGGTTCCATCAAGGGGCTCGCGCCATTCCCACCAGCTGGAAATTTCATAATGGCCATCAAGAACAGCATCGCGTCAGGGTTGGCAAGGGCGCATCCATCAGGTGGTAAGCAAAACAGGCATGCACTACAAGGCTGCCGGCAAACAAAGCAGTGTGTGTGCTAGGAGCTGCCCTCCACTCGTCCCAAGCTCTATCATGTACAGACTGTTGAAGCATGCATGTGCACTGGCAATCAGGGATGATGCAGTGCAGGTAATGCTAGGTTGACAAAATCGCCGCAAGCACCGTTGCGAAGGGATGTTGCACATGGTGGTGCATGCGGTTACTATTGGCAGCTGGGACTGCTGCTGCAGGGTTTCACAGCTGCTCCACAACAGTGGCTAGGGGTGCACGGTCGGAAGGCTTGTCACCAGCACCATGGCAGAACCCTGCAGCATCTCACCTGCTGCTGTGTATTTGCAGGGCCCCAGGCGAAAGCCATCACGGGCAGATGCGATGAAAGGGGTGGGGTGGGGGGTGTGAGGAAAGCCAGCAGGAGAAAAGAGCCGAGATGGAACGTGCAGGGATGCAGCGCAGCAGGATATGCGGGCGGTGTCAGCACGGACAATCAGGACAATCAGGGCAATCAGGACAATGCTGCCGCTCCCACGCCTGGGCACAAGCAAAGGACAGGATCATGGACAGACAAATGCCCACACACAGCCAGGGAGGGAGGAGGGGAGGGGAAATGCAGCAGCGGCATGTGAGCAGTGTTGGCAGGGGCAATAAGATGATGATGAGGCGCAATTGGCAGAGTGCAGCATGGTCCCGAAGTCACTGCGGCAAGCGTGTGTAGCAGCACCTGGGCTCAACTGTCAACGGGTGGCTGTTCCCAAACCCTGCAGCACCTCACCTGCTGCTGTGGATCATTTGCAGAGGCCCGGGCGGAAGCCGTGAAGGGCAGATGTGATGAAAGGGCAGGGTGTGACAGGTGTTCGAGCAAAGCTTGTTGGGAAATAAGGGGCAGGGATGCCGAGCAGCATGAGTATCGGAAGTTTTGGAACCAAGGTTAGCACTACCATTATCCCCCCAGACCCAGACCAACAACGTCTGCTGTGGCTCACCCCATGAAGCCGGGGCCCCAGCTGAGTCAAATCAGTCAAAAGCAAGAATGGCAGGAAATAATGGGATACCGCCGCTTGCTTTCACAAGCAGTGGGGCGCAACGCAGGCTGGTCACAAGTAGCACCGTGCATGACTCACCTGCTGTTGTTGCTGTGAAAATGATGGCCCAGGCGGCAGCCGTGAAGGGTACATGCAAGGAGACAGAGGGCGAGCAAAGCTGCAACAGTAGAAAAGGATGCAGTGTACGGAGGCGGCATGCAGCGTGGTGCGGCAGAGCTTTCGCAAATTGTTTGTTCAGTTGGGCAGTGCGTGGTAGCTGGCAGTTTGCACATGGTGGTGCATACAGTACTATCGGCAACTGGGACTGCTGCCGCATGGTTTCACGGCTGCTTTACAAGGCGCGGTTGGGGGTGCAGGGTCGGCAGGCTGGCCACAAGCACAATCGCAAAACCCTGCAGGACCTCACCTGCTGTTGTGGATCATTTGCAGAGCCCCAGGCGAAAGCCATGAGGGCACATGCGATGAAAGGGAGGATAAGGGTGATGAAAGGGAGGGGAGGGGGAGGAAAGCCAGCAGATCAAAAGAGACGAGATGGGACAGGCACGGATGTGGATTGCAGGTGGTGTCAGCACTGGCAGGCACTCAAGTGACGCCAACGAGGCAAACTGAGCGCGAAACATGTGTGCTTGCTGCGAAAGGCGCACGCGTCGTCGCCATACCATACTTGCAAGGTGCAGCTGGGCCTTCAACCAAGGTCAGCATCCATCGCCCCCTCCACCTGGACCAGCAACGTTTGCTGTGGCCAACCCCATGAAGCCCGAGCCCCAGCCAGCCAGTCAGTGCTTTGGATTGTGATGCACACGAAACGCACCTGATGCTCCTCTTCCTGTGCCTGGACAGCAGTGAAGGACAGGATGGTGGACGGAAAAAGACGTCACACGAGCACCGTGAAGGAAGCCAGCAGGTAGTGGGACGCAGCATGTGCGCAGGGCAGGGGAGGTGGGAGGAGGAGGGCGAGGGCAGCAGCACCACGTGAGTAGTGTTGTCATGGGCTTTCCGGTGAAGAGGATGAGGCAAATTGGGCACAGCTGCGAAGCATGCAACGTGGTTCGCAAACCACTGCAGCACATGCCTACACCAGCACACTGGCCGAGCTGCAGGCAGGTGGCTACTCCCTGCCTCTGGCATCGTCTGGAAGCCAATGCGGAGACAGGCAGGACTTCCCCACGCCAAATGCCGGCGGCCACATGCTGAGCGCAAGCCCCATACAGTGGCATTTGTTGCAAGGCGTGAGGGCATTTTGACCCCTGCAGCTGGTGCTGCAGAACTCTGTGCTGCTCTAATGGTTGTTCAAAGCATGTGGGGTTGTGCAGATGGGTCATGCATAATTCCACAGCAGAGTTTGAGGCTCAGCATGTTATGTGCTAGTGTCAGTGCCCTGCATACGCCATATGTGCAAACCAGCCGCATGAACGGCAACCAGGAACTAGTTCATGGCTGCACCACAAGCAACTACCCAGTGATGCAGGTTGGCAGAATCGCCACAAGCACCATTGCAAAACCACGCGTGACCCACCTGCTGCTGCTGCTGCTGCTGCTGCTGATGTGGAACGATGGAGGAAGCCCAGGCGGGAGCCATGGAAGGTAGAGAGAAGGGCGCAAACGGAAGGTCAAGCAGGCTTGTGGGCACAACACGAGGCATGCAGCACAACTGCGGGGCTGCAGAGCTGCCTGCTGACCCGAGCATGCCGCATATGCAGTGCTCTGCAAGCCTGCTGTGAGCAGGCCCCGGTGAAGCGTCATGCCCCTGCTTGTTGCAAAAGAGGATCAGCAGATGGCAAGCTAGTTTGCTAGCTGACTGGATGCATGCAATGCACTGCAACTGGAAGGGCCGAATTGGCAGCTGGCGTGTTGCACATGGTGGTGCATGCGGTTGCTATTGACAACTGGGACTGCTGCTGCATCGATTCACTGCTGCTCCACAAGCAACGGCTGGGGACACAGGGTCCGCAGGCTTGCCACCAGCAACACTGCAAACCCAGCAACACAGCATCTCACCTGCTGCTGTGGATCATTTGCAGAGGCCCATGCAAAAACCGTGAAGGGAAGATGCGAATCAAAGGGGCATGTCAGTTGTGAGGAAAGTGAGCAGGTGGGAAGAAACGACACGGGACGGGCGGGGATGAAGAGCAGCAGGTGTGCGGGCGGTGTAAGCACGGGCATTCAGGTGGCTTGAATGAGGCGCACTTACAGGCTGCACTCACAGTGGCAGCCTGGAAAGCAGGCTGCACGCATAGCAGAGCCAGCAAGCCAGCAAGCTATACGATGGATCGCAAGCTGTACGCCTCACCTGCAGTGCACGGACAGCAGTGACGGGATTGAGGATACCATGCGAGCATGAGGAGAGGAGCCAGCAGGTTGTAGTGCGTAGCATGCGGGGAGGAGAGCGGCATGGGGAAGAGGTGAACGGCAGCAAAGGCATAAGAGCAGTGTCGGCTGTCAAGCGCGTGTGAACACGTGGCACCCTCTCGGCACCACAGCGGCACCACTGGAACCACCTCCAACTGCCACTTAGCACCCTCAAGGACTTTTGGATACATGAGACACACTGTGCAGTTGCTGCACTGCGTCAGCGCATCACAAAAAGGCCCACCCACCCTGTACAGCTGCCTTGATGGCAGCCTTCCTGTAGGGCTTTGGCAGGGCCAGCAGACCAGCAGCCCAATCCTCGGTCCTCTCATAGATTATTTCTGCTGCATCACCACAAAAGCCAATATTTTCGTCGCCTGGGAACAGCTCAGGCAATGCCTGCAACAGCTGCTGCCTTGATGTCGGCGCGTCCATGGGGACCAGGGCCTGCGCACGCTACATCGGCGATTGTGAGAGCGTTGTGTGGCAGGCAGCACGCGATGCCTGCACGCTTGACCTGGCATTGTAACCAGCATGGCGATGAAGCCAGCATCAGGTGAAGGGCAGCACTGCACCTCTTAGCAGGCATTGAGCGCAGCCGGCAGCGGCTGGCGCTGGTGCCGTAGGTGGCGCGCCAGCTGTGCCAAGCATGGCCCCCAGCCAGCGCGCGTACCTCGCAGCAACTGACCCCCTCAGCACCCAAACTCGCCACTGGGGGCGAACCCGGCACGGTTAACTGCTCTGGATAGCACCTACAAATCCAAGCGCGGAGGAAGTTGCTGAGCTCAGCGAAGGGGCTGCTGGAGTGCGGTCGAGGCGTTTGGGGAGTAGGTTGTGCGCACTGGATAATTTCTCAACACCATCGAAAAGCAAGCACGAGATTGGCCTGGGGACCTTACGCAGGGAGTCCACTCACCCAGACGGGTGTGACCCAGTGCCTGCTGGCCAGCTCGACAACTGCTGCTGCAGCTGCATGCAACATCAACTTGGCCGATTGTCACGGGTTTACTTTGTGGCCGGGGCACAACACAATGCCAACCCTCCTTCAAAAACATCCACCACAGCATAGTACATCCACCCGCTTAATGACATCATGCAGGGGCAAAGCTGCGCCGATGGAGGCTACCTTGAACTTGCATCAACGGGGGCGAGCGAGCAACTACGCGCCGACACACGAATGTATGCATCGACACATGCATATTTATTGGACGCGTGTGCTGTGCAGTGCATTAATGTGAGGATAAATTTGTATGTAGATTGCCACATTATTGACCCCCTGTGCCTGCTCTGTCGTTTCCGCTCGTTTGCATTCTTGCTCAAGCGCGCAATCAGCTTCAACCCTGCCCCAGCTGCAGCGAGGTTGACACCAAGATCGCGCCTATTACGGGCGGGGAGTGGGCAACAGCGTACCCGCCGCCGAGGTGCGAGCGTCGCAAAGACGGGCGCCAGGCACCCTGCCACCTGCAAGTGTGCAAGTTGTTGCCGCCGCACGCGCGCGAGCCTGTCAAACGCCGTGGTGCTGTTGTGCCACTGGGCGGCAATCGACGCTGCCGGGCAGGCACGAGCACTCTGCCAAAGCGGCAGCCGCGCGCCCTCTGCGCCCAAAGAGGGCGATATTGCACCACTGTGCAAGCGGGGTGGGGAAGTGGGGCACAGCTGTGAACATCCACAAATGCAATGGGTCTCACATGCTGGCGACTGCACTCGCCACCACGTTGGCAATACGAATGTCCAGGTCGTCGGGTTGGTCCTTCAGTGCAGCCTGCGCGCGAGCCAGGGCGCAACGCGCCTCGTCCACGGCAACTGAAGCGTAATACATGTGCTCGAGGGCCGCGCTCGTGCACGCTCTGAGTTGCCAATCATCGCCGCAGCAAAGGGCGTTCCACTCCCCTGTCGCGGCACGTGCGCCAGTCTGCGCTGCATCGAGAGACACACACAGCAAGGCCGCGGCCTTAGAGAGGGGTGCAGACCCCTCGGGCGCGAGCTCGCGCAGCACCTCAAAGTGCGCCAACAGCGCCGCCATCATTTTCTCTAGAAGCTGGATCTCGAAAAAGATTCGGAGCGGGCCAAGGAGCCTGCTGGGCTTTTCATGCAGGAAACGGGCGAAGCGGTCGAGGTTGAGGTCCCCCTCCTTTGCAAGCTGGGACAGGCGGACGATTGTGGGGATGTGGAATTCACTCTGACAGTTCAAGGCCGTTGGCTGCTCGCTGCTGAATTCAAACCACCAGGAGGGGTACCCGATGGGTGCGGCTGGCCCAGCGAAGACGACCTGGGGTCAAGGTACGCCCACGTGCCCGTGTGCACGACGTGCGCCGCGCAAGATTTGATCGATTCGCCCTTGCCCATGGCCCCCATGTGCACGTAAGGGTTCGTCGCGCTGCCGGTCAGCTGCAGCTTCATCTCGTTCTTGTAGGAGTCCAGCAGGACAAACGGCTTGAGATGGCCAAACTTCTCCTCGGCGGTTGCCTTCCTGACCTCCTCGTCCCCTTCTGACGCCCTGATGAGCCTGGTGATCTCCCTAGGGGAGGGGGGGGGTGCGGCGCAGAGAACGTGAAAACCCTCGCAGGGGCGGGGACGAGACCCCAGCAAACAGTGCCTACGCCGCGCGCCCGCGTAGACACGCGCGCCAGCTGGCGGCCGCGAACTGGCGTCGTGCGTGGCGTCGTCACCACAATGCAACGGTCGCGTGCCATGCACATGACTCACTCCAGCGGGGGGCCGTAGGCCTCGGCGGTGAAGAGGACGTCGATCATGCCCTTGAAGGGACCCCAGCGCGCCCGCAGATAATCTGCCGCCACCAGAAAGAACCTGTCGTGCGCGCGCACGTGTTTTAATGTGTGTGTGTGTGTGTGTGTGTGTGTGTGTGTGTGTGTGTGTGTGTGCGTGCGTGCGTGCGTGCGCGCGTGCGCGTGTGTGTGTGTGTGTGCGTGTGCGTGTGCATGTGTGCTTGTGCGTGTGCGTGCCTGTGTGTG